AAAGGCAGACGCAATGGTTAAGCTACCCAGGTGCCCCTTTTTACTTTTTAAAGGTTTTTTAAGTAATCTTGAACACCCCCCCACCCCCCATGGGGCTGGAACTCATGACCCCAAGATCAAGAGTTGCGTGCTCCTCCTTCAGAGCCAGCCAGGTGCCCCTAGAAGTAAGGTTTTTAAGCAAACGAGAACAGCATGATTAGTACATATAGAATTGGGATTTGAAAATTCACTGGGGTATGCAACCTAGTATCATAAATACCCCCTTTTGTTTTTTTAAGATTTTATTTATTTATCAGAGAGAGAGGGAGAGAGAGCGAGCACAGGCAGACAGAATGGCAGGCAGAGGCAGAGGGAGAAGCAGGCTCCCTGCCGAGCAAGGAGCCTGATGTGGGACTCTATCCCAAGACGCTGGGATCATGACCTGAGCCAAAGGCAGCTGCTTAACCAACTGAGCCACCCAGGCGTCCCTCATAAATACCCTTTTAAACAACTTGGTAACACTATCATATTTGGAAGTTTATAAAACATTAAGCATCATATTGCTTAATATTAAATTTCCTTAAAGATTTTTGTATAAACTATTTGATTAATCCTTGTGAAATTATAAACATATATACCTTTTTTTAATTACTCCCAAAGTCTTTATTTATTTATTTATTTTTAGATTTTATGTATTTGACAGAGCACAAGCAGGGGGAGCAGCAGAGAGAGAATGAGAAGCAGACTTCCTGCTGAGCAGGGAGCCCGACAGGGGGCTCCATCCCAGGACCCTGGGATGATGACTTGAGCTGAAGGCAGACACTTAAGCCACTGAGCCACCCAGGCGCCCCCAAAGTCTTTATTTTTGTTATTTTACTTTGAACCACAATAATAGAGAATAAGTATAATTAAGTGTATTCCTCCGACTTAGGATAAGATGATAAATACACATTCTTCCTGATTCCCTAATGAATCTAGTATCTAGAGGATTAGAAAGCACCCTTGAATGTCATTTCCCCTCTCAATTCCTGGGAGGACACTAGTGGTCTTCTGTTGCACATGTTTATTTCTTTTGTTTCTTCTCTTTTTTTCCTTTCATTTCTTTCTTTTTTTTTTTGTTCTTTTTTTTTCTAAGATTTTTCTTTATTTATTCAACTGAAAGAGATCACAAGCAAACAGAGAGGCAGGTGGGGGGTGGTGGGGGAAGCAGGCTCCCCGCTGTGCAGAGAGCCAGATGCCGGATTCAATCACAGGACCCTGAGATCATGACCTGAGCTGAAGGCAGAGGCTTAACCCACTGAGTCACCCAGGTGCCCCTCCTTTTGTTTCTTTAAAAAGAACAAAAAGGCCTCATTTAGCCAGTTGACACATGGGAAGCCTTAATAGTTGTAGATCATTATCAAATCTTGTTAGAAGAGGTACCTATAATATATCTGTCTCTTGGTGCCACTTTTTATTTAGCCAATTGGCATCTTTCTAATATTTAAAGTATGTTTAATAATAATGCACAGAAATGGGAGTTTCTCAGTTTTGGGAATAAACTTTTACTTAGATATTTCAAGGACTTGAAGTGTTCATGGGTTAAAACTAGACTGAAAAGTGACATCTTTGACTAGTAGCTTTTTAAGCTGATAAGTTGTATAAATGGAAGGTACTAAAAACAGCAAGAGGGTTATGAGAGAGAACTGGGTTAATTAGAATCAAAATCTGCTTTGGAAGTCGCATTTTGTTAAAAGTGATGTGTTGGAGACATACTGGACTATAATTACTTATTTTATCTGCCCTAATAGTTAAAAACAGCTTTTTCTGGGACATAGAATTGCTCCGAACTTTACATAAACATGTTGTGAAGATAAAAAGCCTTTCAGGATTGTCACATGAATGTGTTCTCTTAAAGGGAAGTTAGTTCTAGGGGGCACCTGGGTGGCTCAGTTGGTTAAGTGTCTGACTCTTTGTTTTCTACTCCGGTCATGATCTCAAGGTTATGAGATCCAGCTCCAGGTAGGATTCCATGCTCAGTGGGGGAGTCTGCTTGAGAGTCTCCCTCCTCCTTCTGCTCCTCCCTCTGCTCTCTCACTGTCTCTCTCTCTCTCTCAAATCTTTTTTTTTTTTTTTTTTTTTTTTTTAAGTGGGAGTTAGAAATGAACTATCTTGAAAACAGCTCTGGCCTGGGTACCAGATGCATGGGTTCTGGTTCCGGTTTAGATTCCGAAAAGGTTAGTGACCTAGGATTAAGTTTGTGTTTGTTTCCAGAGTCTCCATTTTCTCAATTGAAATCAAGAAATTCAAGTACAGGATTTAAAAAATCTGTTCCTGCTGTAACATTAAGTTTTGTTTGGCCTCATCCAATTTCATGACTTCAAATACTGCGTTCTTAAACATTCCATAAAATGTTTTTGACCCCTCTCAGACAAGTTCTTTTTTTTTTTTAATATTTTTTTATTTGAGAGAGTGAGAGAGAGCATGAATGGGGAAGAGAGGGAGAAGTAGGCTCCCCACAAAGAGGGAACCCGACTCAATCCCAGCATCCTGGGATCATGACCCAAGCTCCCTCAGACAAGTTCTATTTCTCCCTTGAACCCCAGATTCATGTGTCTCCTATATGGCCATTATCTCCTGGATATCTAGTAGGCAGCTCAAACATCACATCACTACACCAGATCTACTGATTTTCTCTACATACCCTATCAAATTTCCTGCTTCCATGCCTTTCTCCACAAGATCACCACACCCCCACAGCAGCTCTGTTCAAAGCCTGATAGGAGGCATAAAGATGACAGTTCACATCTAACTTAGTGTTTGGAGAGCTACCTGTGGAATCTGACCACTTCTCAGTGTCTCCATGTTTAAGTCACTAGTGGTTTCCTATTTCTCTTAGATTGAAACCAATACTTCTTACTTTTAGTCCACATAGAAGCGATGTAGAATGACTCTGACACTTCCTGTCTATTCTGTCAGGTATCAGCCCAGGCCTCTTTTACCCTGGGGATGGACTGGACTGCTATCATCAATGGGCAGGAAGGCACAGAGGAAGAGCAGAAGTTTGTCATGGAGTTGTAACTAGGTTTCTTCTTTTTCTAATCAAGTGTTTTGAGGTCAAATTTATATGCAGTAAAATGTGCCAATCTAAAGTTTACAGTTATTGAGTTTTGACAAATGTGTACATCCAAAATGTGTACATACATGCATCAACTGCCACAATCACAATCTGGAACTTTTCTTTCTTAGGTAGAAGAATGTAAAATAGTACAGAGGAATGTTAACTATGAGAGCTTCTGTCTTCACTACATTATAGCTTTGTGTCAAAACAATACTTAACAATTCAGTGTGTTCTCCTAGGTGAGTCATTCTCAACCTTAAGTATAATTTCAAAATTACCCAAGAAGCTTAAAAATTCCCAGTGCACAGGAAGCACTCCAGACCAGGTAAATCAGAGTATCTGTATAGAACACATGGATCCATGTATGTATATTTTTTAAGATTTCATTTTTAGGTAATCTCTACACCTGACCTGGGACTTGAACTCACAACCCTGAGATCAAGAACTGCATGTTCTATAGACTGAGCCAGCCAGATAATCCCATCATGTACGTGTGTGTGTGTGTGTGTGTGTGTGTGTGTGTGTGTGTATGTATGTATAGTGAGAAAGAGAGAGAGAGAGATTTTTTTATTTGGCAGAGAAGGCACAAGCAGGGGGAGTGGGAGAGGGAGAAGCAGGCTCCCAGCTGAGCAGGGAGCCTGATGTGGGACTGGATTCCAGCACCCTGGGATCTTGAGCTGAGCCTGAGGCAGATGCTTAACCATCTGAGCCACCTAGGCACCCCATCATGTATTTTTAATTTTTTTTAAGACTTTATTTATTGGGCCCTGGGTGGCTAGTTGGTTAAGTGACTGCCTTCACTGGGTTCATGATCTTGGAGTCCTGGGATCCAGTCCCACATGGGGTTCCCTGCTCAGCTGGGTGTCTGCTGCTCCTCTAACCCTCCTCCCTCTCCTTCTCACTCTCCCACAGATAAACACATAAAATCTTAAAAACAAAAACAAAACCTTTATTTGAGAGAGAGAGAGAAAGAGTAAGAGGGAGGAGGGTCAGAGGGAGAAATTGACTCCCAACTGAGGGGAGAGCCAGACCTGGGTTGGATTCAATCCTAGGATCCTCGGATCATGATCTGAGCCAAAGGCAGATACTTAACCGACTGAGCCACCCAGGCACCCTCCTATCATGTTTGTTTTTTTTTTTTTTTTACAGTGTCCAAGCTCAGCCCATGTTGAGAAACACTATAATCTTAGGAATATATTTTTAGCTTTTCCTTTTCTCCACCCACTTAACTCCTACTCAGTCTTCACATCTCACCTCAAAGGTCACATGCTCAGGGAACCTTTCTGAACTCCTCTCCTATGCTGTAATCTCTTTTGTATTACATTTGCTTGTGTTTTTACTTATGTCTATATCCCCCACTAACTTGTAAGCTCCTGGGATGTAAGACATGCCCCACACATGTAACATACATATAAATGAATGAGAGTGAATGGAGATGTTGGTAGCATCACTCAGCTCAGGTTAAGGGGTGGGAATGCATATGGTGCCTCAATGTCCCTTGCAGGAAAGACCTTTTTTTTTTTTTTTTAATAATTTTTTAAAAGTATTTTATTTATTTGACAGAGACACAGCGAGAGAGGGAACACATATGCAGGAGGTTGGGAGAGGGAGAAGCAAGCTCCCTGCGGGGCTTGATTCCAGGACCCTGGGATCATGACCTGAGCTGAAGGCAGACGCTTAACCAACCGAGCCCCCCAGTCGCCCAAGAAAGACATTCTTAGGGCCCGCAAAGGCAAGGCGCCTTTCTCCACTGCATTAAAACGCAGACTTCCAACGCACCGCAGGGAAAACCCCGCCCAGGTCGCGTCTTCCGGCGCGGCAGGCGCTGTGCGGCCTCCAGCCGAGAGGGAGCGCTATGGGGAGAGCAGCTTCCGCCCGCTTTCTCCTCTTTGCCGCGGGCGCCAGCACGTCCTGTTTTCGTTGGCCGCTCTTCGTTGGCCGCCGCCGCTGTAGCTGCTGCTGGTACCCCGTAGTGCTGCTCTTCGCCCGGCTAGCTGAGGGCGGCGTGACCTCCTCCTTTGTGCGGTTCTTCTGCGCGTTGTCCCGAAGGGCGCTGCTTTTCCCGCGACCCGCAGCATGGGCCGGGAGTCTCGGTGAGGCGGCGCGCCTAGCGGGCGAGCGGGCGGGCGGCTTCCTGGGACTGGGGGAAAGAGGCGGGAGTTGAGGTGGCAGCGGGACCAGGCCTGAATCGGTGCGGCCCCACGTGCGGCCAGCGCTCCCCGCGGCCACCCGGGGGGCAGGGAGACCTCGGCCGAGGGAGTGACTGTACTTGGGCCGGTGACACTCGCAGGGTTCCCTGTACTGCCATCGCCAGTTGCAGCCCCTGGAGCGGGACCCCCGCTCCAGGAGATCAGTGATTGGTGATGGTGCCCAATCACCACATCCCGCCATTTCCACGAAGCCCTCCGTGAGCCCGCAGTCACTAGTGATCCCCGTTGAATTTCTTACCAGTTCGCGTTTGCCACCTTTCCCTGGCGCTTGTTGCTGTCTATTTTAGTACCTTATGCGTGTCTTGTATTTTCCCAAATCAGTTGAAAGGAGCTGGAGGCTAAATATTTTTACATCATCTACAACATTGAACGTGACTAGGCTTTTAGTGGGCTGCAATAAATACTTGTTGCATGGAGATTTATTTCTCAGGTAGTTATCATATTTCCTTGTTATGTATTTTCTGTCCTTTTAACACCTGGATTGGGAGGTCTTATTAGAATTCTGATACCTCTTCAAAACTTTAGATTGTTAAACAGGGTTTGGGACTTTGAGGTTATCTTAAAGATGAATATTTGCTTTGTATTTAGCAGTGAATGAAAGATCTTTTTATCTGGGTTATAAATAATAAGTAATAGTAGTTTATTGAGATACAGTTAATGTTTAGGGAAATGGACAAAGCTTAAGGGTAGAACTAGATGAAATTTAGCAAATCCATAAACTGAGTACCATCACATGGATAAAGATAAAGAATGGTTGTATATTTACAGAGAATACTTATGCAGGTCTTTTAAATTGCTATTCATCTGGCTACCCAGAGCAGAAACCTGGAAGTGATAGTTTATTTGATTAATTTTTCTCTCGTACTGTCTAAACCCAGTAAGATTCTACACACCGTCTCCATTTCTGCTCTCTGACTTAATCCAGGCCCTAATCATTTAGTGTTCAGACTGCTACACTTGCCTCGAATTGATTATCTTCCTGTGATCTTTGCACTCCTAATAGGTTCCTCACACTGCAGCCACAGTGACACTTCTGAAGTAAAGATTATGTCATTCCTCTCTTTTCATCCCTGTTGGTTCTTACTGCTTCCAAAGATAAAGTCAGACTTTTTAGCACATCCTTCAGGACCCTTCACAAGGAAGCTTCTTCCAGCTCTTTAGCTTTTTCCCCTCCCTGCATGGCTTGTGCTCTAGATTGGTTCAGGAACTTATGGGATGGAGCAGGGTGTTCAAGAAATAAAGAGCCCAGTTTGCCTACATATGTAGGTGTCATGAAGGGTTGAAGATAAGTGGTAGGAAGTAGGTTCTAAAAGGGAGTTGGGTCCAGAATGTCGCTAGATTGTAGATTTAAAGAATTTGAGGGGCCCTTCAGTGGCTCAAGCTGTTAAGCGTCTGTCTTCGACTCAGGTCATGATCCTAGCATCCTGGGACTGAGCCCTGCATCAGGTTCTCTGTTCAGTGGGGAGCCTGCTTCTCCATCTCCCTCTGCTGTTCCCCCTGTTGGTACTTTCTCTCTCTCAAATAAATAAATAAATAAATAAATAAAATCTTGAAGCTAAGAATTTGAGAGCCTTTGAAGATTTTGCCTAAGAAATGTTTGGGTAGGGGCGCCTGGGTGGCTCAGTGGGTTAAGCCTCTGCCTTCGGCTCGGGTTATGATCCCAGGGTCCTGGGATTGAGCCCCGCATCGGGCTCTCTGCTCAGCAGGGAGCCTGCTTCCTCCTCTCTCTCTGCCTGCCTCTCTGCCTACTTGTGACCTCTGTCTGTCAGATATTTAAATAAAATCTTTAAAAAAAAGAAAAAAAGAAATGTTTGGGTATGTTTGTATAATATGGTCAGAACTCTGCTTTACGAAGATTACCACTGAAGCAACAAGTGAAACATTTCAGGGAACAGGGAATAGAAACAAGAAGACCAGGAGTCTTCTAAAATGGCCTAACTAGATAGCTCTGATGTGGAGTAGTGACAGTGGGAACTCTGAGGTGCTGATATAATACGAAGAGAATTACAGAGATGGAATTGGTGATACTTGGTGTTTTTTTTTTTTTTTTTTAAGATTTTATTTATTTATTTGACAGAGATCACAAGTAGGCAGAGAGGCAGGCAGAGAGAGAGGGAGGGAAGCAGGCTCCCTGCTGAGCAGAGAGCCCGATGCGGGACTCGATCCCAGGACCCTGAGATCATGACCTGAGCCGAAGGCAGCAGCTTAACCCACTGAGCCACTCAGGCGCCCGATACTTGGTGTTTTACTGGTTGTGTAGAAAGAGAGAAGTATTGAAGATAACATATTTTGAGACTACTGACTGGAAGTTGTGGTAATGAATGGTTTAGGGAGGCAAAGGTAATGAGTTTGTGTTTCTACACATTGAGTTTCAGGTGCTTGGATAATGAGGAGCACTCATTCCCTAGCCATCTTATCCATGTTTATTGCTTTAAGTAGCCTTTGTACACTGATGACTGTGGAGCCCTTCATGAATTCTAGACGGACATTTCAACTACCTACATACATCTCCATGTGAATGCCTAATATCCTGATTGCCCACCTCCCCACATATGATTCTCCCTCAGGCTTCCCATCTTAGTAAATAGCAACTTCATCTTTCTACTAGGTCCAGCCGTGTATCTCAGAGACACCCATGGCTTCTGCCTTGCTGTCACACTTGGCATCGAGTTAATCCTTAAATCAGTCCTTTCTGGTTTCAAAATACCTAGATTTTGACACTTCCTAGAAACTCTAAACTTGATATTCTCATCCCATCCACCACTCTCTTACTTGGATGATTGCTATAGCATTCTACCTCTTTTCCCTGCTTCTGCCTTTGCCTTCCTTCAGTTTGTTCTCCCCTCAGCAGCCAGACTAATGCTTTAAAAATACTAGTGAGGAAAAAAATAAGTAAAAAATAAATAAAAATATTAGTGGGGTAAAACTACTCCTCTACTTAGAATCTTCCAGTAACTTCTCAACTTACTCAGAGTGAAAGAAACAGTCCTTAGAATGGCCTGTAAGGCTCTACAGAGCTCTCCATGTTTTCCTGCCTTACTGTATTGCTGATCTCATCTCATGGTACTTGGTCATTCAGACCTAGCCGCATCTGCCTTCCTAGCTGTTCCTTAGACACACCAGTCAAGCTTCTTCCTCAGCGACTTTGCACTTGTGGTGCCTGCTGCCTGTAAAGTTTCTCCCCCTTGTATCTACATGGTTACTTTGATTTTCTTCAGACCTCTGAAGTGTTTGTTTATTAGTTTACCTAGTTTAAAATAGCAAACCTCCTACCTGCCACCCCTTCTCTTTCATTTACTCTGATGAGTTTCTCTCCATAGTACCACGTGATATATTGTGTATTTATTTCTTTACTTGTCGGTCATTTCTTCCTTTACCAGAATGCAAGTTACTTGAGGCAAGTTTGGTTCGTTCTTTTTACTGTCCTTGCTTCCGTTTCAAGATAGTTTTTCCCTGTCTATGTGGACTGTAGCTGCGGGGTCACTACTTCCCCCTAATTTTAAGAGTTGATGAACAAAAAGGCCTTTCAGTGTTTAATTTGCTGAGATCTTTTAGGAAAATGTGATTGATTAAAATAGAATAGAAGCTACCTGTGTTTGCTAAACTTAATCTTGAACTTAACCTTCTAGCCACTATCGGAAGCGATCAGCATCAAGGGGGCGCTCTGGAAGTCGTTCTAGAAGTCGCTCACCCTCAGACAAAAGAAGTAAACGTGGAGATGATAGACGTTCTAGAAGCAGAGATAGAGATAGGAGGAGAGAGAGGTCTCGAAGCAGAGATAAAAGAAGATCTCGGTCAAGAGACCGGAAGCGCCTGAGGTAAGACGGTCTCCTAAATACTCATGATAAATTGGGCCTTCTCAGCTAAATTGTTCAAAAGTATGACTTGGACTGGAATTTAATGGCCTTTGGTGGGCACTCTGCTTTGACCCCAGCTCATTTGATCAGGTCCAGAGGTGCTTTGCCTGGAGCAAAGAGTCTCAAAGGTAATATGTCATCAAGACTGTTCTGTTCTAATTCTGTCCCAAGAGAGCTGACAACTATGTTCAGACTAGCCACTAAAGCCAGCAGGAGAAGGAAAAGGGCAGAGCCATCTGCAAGCCCTGCTTGGTGTTTGACACTTTAAAGAAAAAAAGTATTTTTTAAAGCTTTTTATTTTTTTTTTTTATAGATTTTATTTATTTGTTTGACAGATGACAAGTAGGCAAAGAGGCAGGCAGAGAGAAAGGAGGAAGCAGGCTCCCTGCTGAGCAGAGAGCCCGATTCAGGGCTCAATCCCAGAACCCTGCGGTCATGACCTAAGCCGAAGGCAGAGGCTTTAACCCACTGAGCCACCCAGGCGCCCCTAAAGCTTTTTATTTTTAAGTAATCTCTCTATCCAATGTGGGGCTCAAACTTAAAACCCTGAGATGAAGAGTTGCGTGCCCTACTGATGAGCAAATCAGGGACCCTCTCAACTCCCCTTTTTTTTAATTTCTAAAGAAGATTCTATTTATTTATTTTAAACATTTTATTTTTAATTAATCTCGCACACAGCTTGGGGCTTGAACTTACAACTTCAAGATCAAGAGTTGCATACTCTACCAGCTGAGCTAGTCAAGTGTCCCTGTTTGACACTCTTTAAAAAAAAACTATTTTGAATAAAAGAACCTCCTAATTTTTATTTTACTTTTACTTGCTTACATATTGCTTGGCACCAGTCAAGCAGGTGTATGTAACCTTTGTAGAGGTGGAAAACATTGTAAATAAAAATAATCTTCCCCACACCAAAAAGTTATTTGATAAGTTTCTTATTATAATAGGAAAGAAGACAAGGCTGTACAGGTGCTGTGAACTGATCACAGAAAAAACTCTTCTGCAAACATTGGAAGAAGAAATTGCAGAAGTATTACTTGGTGCTCAGGGAGAATACTCATCTATGAAAATGTGGATAGTGCTGACTTAGTTTCATATTATGTGGTCCCAGGAACAGTTTCATATAATTCGTTCAAGCGTGTAATTTTTTTTTTAAGATTTTATTTATTTATTTGACAGACAAGAGATCATAAGTAGGCAGAGAGGCAGGCAAGAGAGATGGGGGGAGCAGACTCCCCAATGAGCTCGATCAGTGGGGCTTGATCCCAGGACCCCGAGATCATGACCCGAGCCGTAGGCAGAGGCTTAACCCACTGAACCACCCAGGCGCCCCCATTCACATATGTATTAAGTGAAATTGTTTTTTTTAAGATTTGGTCTTTGACTTTTAGGAGTGAAAGTAGAATCACAAGGTTTTAGAGCAAGAAGGATTTTGAGATTATCTAAGTGGAGTCTCCATATTATATAGATGAGGAAACTGTGACGCAGAGAGTTGATCTGCCCTATGTCATGTCACCGTCAGCTCTAGAATGGAAATTATCTCCTGGTCTTCATATCTGTGTTCTTCCATAGCCCCATTGTACCCATCCTTATACTTAAGTTTTGGCTTTGAAATTTAGATTTTTCTACTGTAGACCGTAATTTCACAAAGACATTTATTATCACAGATTTGCTGTTTTTTTCCAACAAATATCATTTTGGAATTAGTATCTTCACTTTTTTATTAACCACTTCTAAGAATTGACTTTAGAATTGAACTAAGAATTGTTCCTTTTTTATCTGATTTGATGATTAATTGAAATCTCAGCCTTTAATAATGGTAATGGTTGGGGCGCCTGTGTGGCTCAGTGGGTTAAAGCCTCTGCCTTCGGCTCGGGTCATGGTCTCAGGGTCCTGGGATCGAGCCCCACGTTGGCTCTCTGCTCGGCGGGGAGCCTGCTTCCCTTCCCCTCTCTCTGCCTGCCTCTCTGCCTGCTTGTGATCTCTGTCAAATAAATAAACTCTTTAAAAAATAATAATAATGGTAATGGTTAAGAAGCTTCTTTCAAAACAGTACAGAAACATTATCTAAAGTAATACTACTTGGTCATAGAATGAATGAAAAGTGTCTTCCTTTCAGGCGTTCCAGAAGTAGAGAGAGAGACAGAAGTCGAGAGCGAAGAAGATCTCGAAGTCGAGACAGGAGACGCTCGAGGAGTAGAAGCCGAGGCCGGCGATCCAGATCCTCCAGTCCTGGCAATAAAAGCAAGAAAGCTGAGAATAGGTAATGATATCATTGGACTGTATCTCATGCAGTTTGGGAACTGACTCTTCCCTTTTCCTTCCTTTTTTTAAAGAAATCTTTATAAATAATTACTGACTAGCTCTACCATCAACTGGTTGCTTGAATTTAATTTTATTTATTTATTTAAAGATTTTATTTATTTATTTATTTGTCAGAGAGAGAGAGAGAGAGCGAGAGAGTGCATGAGCAGGTAGAGTGGCAGGCAGAGGCAGAGAGAGAGGCAGGCTCACTGCCGAGCAAGGAGCCCGATGTGGGACTTGATCCCAGGACCCTGGGATCATGACCTGAGCTGAAGGCAGCGGCTTAACAGACTGAGCCACCTAGGCATCCCTATTTTATTTATTTTTATTTTTAAAAATTTTAAAAAATTTTAATAGTTTATGAGGCTTGTAATTCAGTTGGAAATAGTAGATTCAGTTAGTTTTAACATTCATAATACACTGTTCTCTTATTTGATACCTATTGTTAATGGTCAGGAATTTATTGTATGAACATCTTTTTGGGAACTCTGTTTTTCCTTTGAAATGATGTTCTTAGCATTTCTGACACTGGTTGGCAGGTAACTTTTTAACTCATGATGTGAATTGCTGAATTGCTCTTCAGGATAGGTATGAACTTTGCTTGTGTTAAGTTAAATGTACATGTTTCCTTAGGATGCCAGTACCCTTCAATTTCAAGGTATATCTATTAGACATAACATGTTTACTCTTTATATTTCTCTTTTCAGTGATTTATTCTTTGGCTGTTTCTGAAGTGGTGACATAGTTGATATATGAATTTGTATTTGTGTTCTGTATATTATTCATATTATTCATGAGTGTTTTCCTCATGTCATTAATTTTATTTTATAAATTTTACTTTTGGGGCGCCTGGTGGCTCAGTGGGTTAAAGCCTCTGCCTTCGGCTCAGGTCATGGTCCCAGTGTCCTGCCCCGCGTCAGGCTCTCTGCTCGGTGGGGAGCCTGCCTCCTCCTCTCTCTCTCTGCCTCCCTCTCTGCCTACTTGTGATCTCTATCTGTCAAATAAATAAATAAAATCTTTAAAAAAAAAATTTATAAATTTTACTTTTATTTTACCAAGTTTGGTGTAGTAATGCCCAGTGAGATTATTTTGAGTTAAAAGTAAAATATAAATTCGGAAAAGTGAATGAAATGTAAACATGCAGTTTATTAAATAATTATAAAGCAATATCCATGTAACCACCACCAAGGATAAGAAATACAACATGTGGGGCGCCTGGGTGGCTCAGTGGGTTAAAGCCTCTGCCTTTGGCTCAGGTCATGGTCCCAGGGTCCTGGGATCCAGCCCTGCGTCGGGCTCTCTGCTCAGCAGGGAACCTGCTTCCTCCTGTCTCTCAGCCTGCCTCTCTGCTTACTTGTGATCTCTGTCTGTCAAATAAATAAATAAAATCTTAAAAAAAAAAAAAGAAAAAGAAAGAAATACAACATGTTAGGACGCCTGGGTGGCTTAGTTAGTTAAGCGTCTGCCTTTGGCTCAGGTCATGATTCCGGGGTCCTGGGATCAAGTTCAGCATCAGGCTCCTTGCTCAGTGGGAGCCTGCTTCTCCCTTTGCCTGCTCTGCCTGCTGCTGCTCCTGCTTGTGCTCTCTCTCTGACAAATAAATAAATAAAACCTAAAAGAAAAGAAAAGAAATAAAACATATCAGTATCTCCAGAAACCCTCCATGTCCTTTCTATAATTCCAGCTCTCTACTACCCTAGATATAACCACTCCTGACGTTTGTACTTGTAGTTTCTTTGTCTTTCTTAAGAGTTTTACACTTGTGTTCACATCTGGAAAAAGAATGGTTAAGGTTTATATGTTTTTTAACTTTACTTGAATGAGTTCCATATTCTTTTGTATCTTTGTTGATCATTGTTTGAGAGTCATCCATGTTGCTTATAACAGTAGTTCATTTTCACTCCTGAGTACTATTCGGTGGTATAAGTATACAGCTATTTATCCGTTCTACTGAGGTGAGGATTTGGGTTCTTTTGACTTTTAGGGTATTTTGAATATTTTTATATATGTGTCTTGGTATACATGTGCTTGAGTTTCCCTAGGGTGTGTATCTAGGAGTGAAATTATATGGTTATAGAATAAACATAGCTTTATTGTTTTTTTTAAAGATTTGTTTATTTGAGGTAGAGAGTGAGTGCAAGGCATGCGAGCGGGGGGGAGGGGGCAGAGAGAGAGAATCTGCAGTAGACGCCCTGGTGAGTGTGGAGCCCAGAATGGCGTGATCACAAGCCTGAGATCTTGACCTGAGCTGAAGTCAAGAGTCGCGCAGTCAACTGACTGAGCAACCCAGCCACCCAGTGTAGCTTCATTTTTATTGAATAATCCCAAATGCTTTCCAGAGGAGGTATACTGATTGTATTCCGATGACCAGTATCATTGTGTTGCTCCATACTCTTCCCAGTATTTGGTAGTCAGTCCTATTAATTTTTGTTAATTGGTTAGATATACCAGTATTGTTGTGGCTTTAATTTGTATTTCTCTGATGACTAGTAAGGTTGAACTTCATATGTTCTTTGGTCATTTGGATTTCTTCTTTTCTGAAATATGTTAAAATCTTTTGCTTATTTTCCTGTTGAGTTGTTTCTTTAAAAATTGACTTGTAGGAGGATTTGTTGTTGTTTTTAAATACTCTTGCTGGTTGTTGATTGTCATTTATATGAATGGCACATATATTCTTTTACTCTGTGGCTTGTCTTTTTACTCTGTTATGATACTTTTGATGAACAGAGACTTAATGAAAAAACATTTCTTTTTCTTTTTTTTTTTTTTTTTTAAGATTTTATTTATTTATTAGAGAGAGAGAGAGTGAGCACAGGCAGACAGAGTGGCAGGCAGTGGCAGAGGACAAAGCAGGCTCCCTGCTGAGCAAGGAGCCCAATGTGGGACTCGATCCCAGGTCGCCGGATCATGACCCAAGCCGAAGGCAGCCGCTCAACCAACTGAGCCACCCAGGTGTCCCTGAAAAAACATTTCTTAATTCATGTTATGTATTGAGAAGAACATAGATATTAAAACCTGAGAAGGACAGTATGAGAAAAGATAACTAGAGGCTTTATTTAATCTAAATATAAAGACTATTATACTGAATCAAAAAATATGTAAAGAAAATAATTATGAACTATGTGGATTTATTCAGGAATGGAAGGTTGGTTTAACATAAGAAAATCAGTCAGTATAGGGGCGCCTGGGTGGCTCAGTCAATTGAGTGTCTACCTTTAGCTCAAGTCATGATCCTAGGGTCCTGGGATTTGAGCCCCGTGGCAGCCTCCCTGCTTAGCAAGGGGATTTGCTTCTTTCTCCCTCTGCTCCTCCCCCTGCTTGTGCTGTCTCTCAAATGAATAAATAAAATCTTCTAAAAAAAAAAAGAGAGAGGGTGTCTGGGTGGCTCAGTTGGTTAAGTGACTGCCTTCAACTCAGGTCATGATCCTGGAGTCCCAGGATTGAGTCCTGCATGGGGCTCCCTGCTTAGCAGGGAGTCTGCTTCTCTCTCTGACCCTCCCCTCTTTCATATTCTGTCTCTTGCAAATAAATAAACAAAATCTTTAAAAAAAAAAAATGAAGAGAGTAAAATCAGTCAGTTTAATTCTTTGTATTAATAAGATTCAAGGAGAAAAGTCATGGTTATCTAAGATCTAAGTAGATTTAGAGAAAAGCATTTTATTAGCGTCAAAACATATTCATGTTAAAAATGCCTAGCATATAGAAAAGTATTTCACAAACTGATTGTAAAATTAGAAATGCAAGGGCATAAACTGTCTTGAAGAACAAGACAGGAGGGCTTGCTTTACCAGATACTGAAACTTGTCATAAAGTTGTCCAAATTAAGTGTGGTTTTGGTGTAGAGACAAATAGATCATTGGAACCGTGTAAAGAGCCCAGAAGAAGATCCCATGTATATGGTCACTTAACAAATGACAGTGGTGACAGTGTAATTAGTGGGGAAAAGTTCTTACAGTAAGTAGTACTTGGGGTGGTGGGAATGCCTGGGTGGCTGTCAGTTGGACGTCAGACACTTTTTTTTTAAAAAGATTTTATTTATTTGACAGAGAGAGCACAAGTAGGCAGAAAGGCAGGCAGAGGTAGAAGGGGAAGCAGGCTACCTGCTGAGCAGAGAGCCTGATGCAGGGCTCGATCCCAGAACCCCAAGACCATGACCTGAGCCAAAGGCAGAGGCTTAACCCACTGAGCCACCCAGGCACCTCAAAACATCAGACTCTTGATCAGCTCAGGTCTTGATCTCAGGATTGTGAGTTCAAGCTTAGTGTGGAGCTTACATAAAAAAAAATAATAATAAGTGCTACTAGTGTCATTTGCTACCATATAATGAAATAGGACGACCTACATCATTCTGTACATAAAAGCAGATAAAAGACCAAATCGATGGCATAATTGTAAACTTTTTAGAAGTTTATACTAGAGAATATATTCTTGACCTGTGGATATCTTCATCAAATCTGGAAGGTTTAAAAAGCACCAGTTTCTTTAAAAGGGGAAAAAGAAGACTGAATTGATTGCATTCAAATTAAGTATTTTTTTTTAAGGCTATTTACTCAATTTGAGAGAGATAGCAAATGATCATGACCAAGGGGAGGGGTACAGGGGAGAGGTAGATGCAGACTCCCCACTGAAGATTAGTGCCTCGATCCCAGGACACTGATATCATGACCTGAGCTGAAGGCAGATGCTTAACAAACTGAGCCACCTAGGCGGCCCAAGAAATTTTTTTTACTTACAAGATACCAAACATAGGGGTGAAATGCAAGGCCTGTTGGGGTTTTAAATGTTATTTTTTACTTTTTAATTTTTTTTTTAATTTTTTTACGATTTTACTTATTTGAGAGAGAGAGGGAGAGTGTATAGGGAGAGTGAGAGGAAGAAGCAGACTTTGTGCTGATCAAGGAACCAGATGTAGGACTTAATCCCCGGCGGCTGTGATCATAACCTGAGCCAAAGGCAGATGCTTAACCGACTGAGCAACCCAGGCCCCTTAAACATTATTAATTTTTAAATGAGTTAATTAAAAATTATCTTGGAGAATGTTAATGTTTTGGTAAATCTCTCTGTGTTAAATTTTACCTCTCCTATTTAAATTTTTTTCATTTTTATATGATATGTCTACTTTTTCTTGGCTAGATTGCCAACTATTTAATATTTGTAATTAATGTTAAAGGATTTAATATTTGTTATATTTCCAAGGTGTTTATTAATATAAAAGTTAAGTTGACTTTTGGAAGTTTCTTAACCAAAAAGTAAAATGTAAGTCTTTAAATGTATTTTATTTTACTTCATTTTATTTATTTATTTTATTTTTGAGAGGAAGAGGGAGCCCTTGTGAGTGGGTGTGTGGGAAGGGACAGAGGGAAAGAATCTTAAGCAGCCTCTATGCTCAGCACAGAGCCTGAGGTGGGGCTCAATCTCATGACTCTGAGATCACAACCTGAGCCAAAGTCAGAGTTAGACACTTAACTGACTGAGCCACCCAGGCGCCCCCTTTAAATGTATTTTAGATGTGAATGTTTCTAAGCACAAATAAATGATGTTTCTTTTTCTCTTTTTTGGTAGGTCTAGGTCCAAAGAGAAAACAGATAGTGGGGAAAGTTCTAAAGAGAAGAAAAAAGACAAAGATGACAAGGAAGATGAAAAAGAAAAAGATGCTGGCGTATGTTTACTAACTAAATAATTGTATATTATCATATTTGTTTCTGTGATCACAAACTGTCGGGGATTTTTATTGCTATATATTTAATTTTGTTTGTTTATTTTTAAGTAGGCTCCATATCCAACATGGGGCTTGAGCTCACAACCCTGAGATCAAGGGCCCCATGCTGTACCGACTGAGCCAGCTAGGTCCCCTATATATTTTTATTTTTATTTTATTAATTTATTTTTAAGGACTTTATTTCTTTTTTTGAGAAAGAGAGAGCACAAGCAGGGGGAACAGCAGAGGGAGAGGGAGAAGCAGACTCTGTTGAGCAGGGAGGCTGATCTGGTTTGACCCCATGACATTGGGATTATGACCTGAGCTAAAGGCAGATGCTTAACCACCTGAGCCACCCAGGCATCCCTATTTTTATTTTTAAATGATAGTATGTAAAAAACAAAAACCAAAAAAGAGATAAAGTAAAAACTGTCCCTATTAGAGGAGTTATTTCTCAAAAATATTGCATATCTATATACGTGCTCTGTTTTTACTTAACAAAAGGTGATCATGCTATGTGTGCTATTTTGTACCTTGCTTTTGTTCCTTATTTTATTTATTTATTTATTTTTTATGAAGTAATCTCTACTCCTGATGTGGGGTTCAAACTCAGCCCCCAGATCATGAGTTGCAGGTTCCACTGACTGAGCCAGCCAGGTGCCCTGCTTTTGTTTATTTTTAAATTGTGTTCTGTTTTTTCAATATATAAGGTCTGAAAAAGAATACACAGCAGTTTACCCAACATCCAACTTAAATAGCATGCCTTGTTGTTTTCATTTGTTATATATTGGAGATCTTCTGAAACTGCATATATAGATATAGCTCATTGTTTTTAATGCCTTCATGGTGTTCTGTTGAAACAAAGTAAGGAAATCACCTTTGATGGATATTTAGGTTATTTTCAGTCTTCATTGTGAACAGTGGTGTGTGAATCCTTTTACACATGTCTTTTGTGAATATAGGGTGAATTGGTATCAATGAAATGGCTTTGTCAGTGGGTATATGTATTTAACATTTTGACAAATAGGATCAAAATGCCCTCCAAAAGAGTGGTATACCTTTTTTTTTTTTTCTTAAAGTTTATATATTTAAGTAATCTCTTTACCCAGGGTGGGCCTATACTCATCTCATGACCCTAAGATTAAGAGTCACATGTTCTTCTGAGTGAGCCAGCCAGGTGCCCTAAGTTTTATTTTTGTTTTAACTGTTTTTTTTTTTTAAGATTTTATTTATTTGACAGAGAGAGAGAGAGAGACATACAAAGCGAGAGAGGGAACAGAAGTAGGGAGAAGGGGAGAGGGAGAAGTAGGCTTCCTGCTGAGGAGGGAGCCTGATGTGGGGCTCAATTCCAGGACCCTGGGATCATGACCTGAGCCAAAGGCAGACGCTTAATGACTGAGCCACCTACATGCCCCTTTAATTAAGTTTTTAACTTTAATTCCAGGGTATTTAACATCCAGTGTTATATTAGTTTCAGGTCACCATTAAAATTTTGTGGTATTTTCTTTGACTGTTTTTTGATGTAGTATTTCCATATCTATAATGATAGCATATGTAGATTTTTTTTTAAGATTTTATTTATTCGTGAGAGAGACAGAGCACAAGCTGAGGGAGGGGCAGATGGAGAGGGACAAACAGACTCCCAACTGATCAGAAAGCCCACAGCAGAGCTCAATCCCACCATCCTAAGATCATGACTTGAGTCAAAGTCAGACATTTAACAGGCTGACCCACCCAGACACCCCAGCATATGTCAGTTTTTTATTTTTACGATGTTTAATCATTGAGTTCCTGCTTAGGGTTATGAAAATGGTTTGCTTTCTCCTTTTCAGAGTATTATTTATTTATTTATTTAAAGATTTTATTTATTTATCTGATGGACAGAGATCACAAGTAGGCAGAGAGGCAGGTGGGGGTGGGGGAACAGGCTCCCAGCCAAGCAGAGAGCCTGATGTGGGGCTCAATCCCAGGACCCTGGGATCACGACCTGAGCTGAAGGCAGAGGCTTTAACCCACTGAGCTAACCACACACCCCTCTTTTTCAAAGTATTATTAATCATCTTGATAAAGTCTTTGGAATGGCTGTTTCTAGGAAACTTAGACCAAGACCAAAAGACCAAAACTTTTTAATCATGTTGATAAATAGCTTTCACTTACTCACTAATTTTTTTTTAAGATTTTATTTATTTATTTGACAGAGATCACAAATAGGCAGAGAGGCAGGTAGAGAGAGAGGAAGGGAAGCAGGCTCCCCACTGAGCAGAGAGCCTGATACGGGGCTTGATTCCAGGACCCTGGGATCACGACCTGAGCCAGAGGCAGAGGCTTTAACTCACTGAGCCACCCAGGTGCCCCACTTACTCACTGATTTGTAATAGAAAATTTCTTTTTCATGGAGGCAGTCTTTGAGGAGTGTAGAGGATTTAAACTTGAGAATAACTAATAACTGGGGAATTATGCTTATTAATTCATCTAGTTTCTCATTTTAGGAAGAAAGTGGATTCATGTTTGCATCTTGCCTGAAATTAAAATGAGATTAATCACGTTTGAAGTCTGCTTTCTTAGTTGAAGATGATTTTTATTGTTTGCTGGTATATTCATAGATATATTTAAAAGATGTGTCCCGCAATTGTATCGGTTTGGGAGCTATTATAAATAAAGCTGCTATAAACACTCAAAAAAAAAAAAAGATGACTGATCTAAATCTGGTGTAAATTGAGTTTGTAAATACAGCTGTTTTTTGTTTTCCTTTTTATATAATTTGAGAGTTTATATAGAATATTGCTGGAATAAAGTTGTTAATCTTTCTTTCTTTCTGATCTCTCATTTCCCCCCAAGAACTTTGATCAGAATAAGCTGGAAGAAGAAATGAGAAAGCGAAAAGAAAGAGTAGAAAAATGGCGAGAAGAGCAACGTAAAAAGGCCATGGAAAACATAGGGGAACTGAAAAAAGAAATTGAAGAGATGAAACAAGGGAAAAAATGGAGCTTAGAAGATGATGATGGTATATTTATTTGTTAGATAGTCTATATAATAATTCATGTGGCATATTCCAGAAATACGAGTAATATTTCATGCTGGGAATTTTTAGGCCATTTTTTACTGTGGAAAATACAGCATTTTAACCTTTTTTTTTTTTTTTTTTTTTTTTAAGATTTTATTAGAGAGAGCATGAGCAGGGGGGAGGGGCGGAGGGATAGGGAGATGCAGAGTCCCCACTGAGCAGGGAGCCCCATGTGGGGCTCAATCCTAACCTGAGCCAAAGATAGACAAATGCTTAACTGACTGAGCCACCCAGGTGCCCCAACCATTTTTTTAATATATCTTTTTTTTTTTTTTTTAAGATTTTATCTATTTATTTGACAGAGAGAGAGATCACAAGTAGGTAGAGAGGCAGGCAGAGAGAGAGGGGGAAGCGGGCTCCGTGCCGAGCAGAGAGCCCGATGCAGGACTCAGATCCCAGGACCCTGATCATGACCCAAGCCAAAGGCAGAGGCTTAACCCAGTGAGCCACCCTTTAATATATCTTTTAAAGATTTATTTGAGAGAGCTAGAGCATGAGCGCACATGAATTGGGGGAGAAGCAGAGAGAGGGAGAGCAAATCTGAAGCAGACTCAGCATGAGGCTGGACTCAGGGCTTGATCCCACAACCACGAAAGCATGATCTGAACTGAAATCCAGAGTTAGTTGCTTAACCAAAAGAGCCACCCAGGCACCCTGATATATTTTTTAAAGATCTATCCATTTGAGAGAGAGAACGATCAGGGGGAGTGGCAGAGGGATAGAGAATCCTCAAGCAAGCTCTCCGCTGAGTGAGGAGCCTGATACAGGGCTTGATCCCAGGACCCTGAGATCATGACCTGACCTGTAACCAAGAGTCAGATGCTCAACCCACTTACCTATCCAGGGCCCTAATTTTAACCATTATTAAGTGTACAGGTCTGTGGCATTAAGTAAATTCATGGTGTTCATCACCCATCACTACTATCCATTTCTAGAACTTTTTCATCATTCCAAACAGAAAGTCTGTACCCGGTACGGATTTCTATTTTTCCTTTCTTTCTTCCTTCCTTCCTTTCTTTCTTCCTTCCTTCCTTTCTTTCTTTCTTTTTTTTTTTTTTTTTAAATATTTTATTTATTTACTTGTCAGAGAGCATGCATGCACAAGGAGGGGAAGGTGCAGGCAGAAGGATATCCCCACCCAGCAAGGAGCCCAATGTGGGACTTGATCCCAGAACCCTGGGATCATGACCTGAGCCGAAGGCAGAGGCTTTAAACCACTGAGCCACCCAAGTGCCCCTCGCAGAATGCTTTAAATGGATGAAAGAATTGTATCTTTAAGGGGAAATGATGTCTTAGTTATATGAAGAAAAAAGTTAGGTTGTCTTGATTTTAAAATGCTTGTTTTTCCTCTGAAAGTAATTTTTCTGGGACACCTGGGTGGCTTAGTTGGTTAAGCATATGCCTTTGGCTTAGGTCATGATCCCAAGGTCCTGGAATGGAGCCCTGCATTGGGTTCTCTGCCCAAATCCTGTTTCTCCTTTTGCCTGCTGCTCCCCCTGCTTGTGCTCTTTCTGTCAAAGAAATGAATAAGAGCCTTTAAAAAATAGAAAGTAATTGAAAGAAAAGAAACCTATCTATCATTAGGAATTTTTAGTCTTACCTCTTTTCAGTTTACCTTATATATTAATATTACTACTTAAAACTGATACATGCTTGATCTAGAAACTCGTAAGTGTGCATAGTTGCACTGCAGTGTGCCTGGGTTGATTGGAAGGAAGGGCATTTAGGCAGGGAGGGAATGGGTAATGGTGGGCTGTGGTATGATTATTAAGTACTTCCTTTGGAAACCTGTGCACAGAAAAGTGATTCTTCTATTTTAGATGATGAAGATGATCCTGCAGAGGCTGAAAAGGAAGGAAATGAAATGGAGGGTGAGGAGTTAGATCCATTAGATGCTTACATGGAAGAAGTAAAAGAGGAAGTAAAGAAGTTTAATATGAGAAGTGTGAAAGGTGGTGGGGGAAATGAAAAGGTAAGCCATTTTCTCTTATTTTTGAAGATTTATCCAGTATTCTTTATTGGGTAATTTGAATTATTATCATGGTGACCTACTGCTGACTTGCCTGACTTTAGAAAGTTGTTTCCCCCCATCTCAGAAATGCTAGTACTTTTTCTTGGTACCACAGATGCTCAGGAGTTTTAGCTGTAAACATTCTTTGAAAAGTCACTCTTATGCCACCGTCTTTTTTTTTTTTTTTTTAAATAAAAAAAATATATTTTTATCCCCAGGGGTACAGATTTGTCAGTCGCCAGGTTTACACACTTCACAGCACTCACCATAGCACATACCCTCCCCAATGTCCATAACCCTACCCCCCTTCTCCCAACCCCCTTTCCCCCAGCAACCCTCAGTTTGTTTTGTGAGATTAAGAGTCACTTACGGTTTGTCTCCCTCCCAATCTCATCTTGTTTCATTTATTCTTCTCCTACCCCCTTAACCCCCCATGTTGCATCTCCACTTTCTCATATCAGGGAGATCATATGATAATTGTCTTTCTCCGATTGACTTATTTCGCTAAGCATGATACCCTCTAGTTCCATCCACGTCATCGCAAATGGCAAGATTTCATTTCTTTTGATGGCTGCATTGTATTCCATTGTGTATATATACCACATCTTCTTTATCCATTCATCTGTTGATGGACATCTAGGTTCTTTCCATAGTTTGGCTATTGTAGATATTGCTGCTATAAACATTCAGGTGCACATGCCCCTTCGTTCGGATCACTACGTTGTATCTTTAGGGTAAATACCCAGTAGTGCAATTGCTGGGTCATAGGGTAGTTCTATTTTCAACATTTTGAGGAACCTCCATGCTGTTTTCCAGAGTGGTTGCACCAGCTTGCATTCCCACCAACAGTGTAGGAGGGTTCCCCTTTCTCCGCATCCTCGCCAGCATCTGTCATTTCCTGACTTGTTAATTTTAGCCATTCTGACTGGCGTGAGGTGATATCTCATTGTGGTTTTGATTTGTATTTCCCTGATGCCGAGTGATATGGAGTGCTTTTTCATGTGTCTGTTGATTATGCCACCATCTTTGATACCTTTGCTTACTATTGACTTCTCAGTAGGTCTTCTCCAGACCTTTGCACTTTCATCTTTAGTGCTTGAGGACATGTTTCTTTCATTTTTTTTTTTTTTAATTTTTAAATTAACATATAGTGTATTATTAGCCCCAGGGGTACAGGTCCGAGAATTGCCAGGTTTACAAACTTCACAGCACTCACCATAGTGTTTCTTTTTTTTTTTTTTAATGGTGTTTGTTACCTTTTCACAGAATATATAGTTTAGTTTTTTTATTATCTTTATTGTTTTTCCCATCTTGTAAAATAAAAGCTCCCTAAGAGATGTGACGTTTATCTGCTTTGTTTATTGATTTATTGTAAGTTCCCTGAACGTGTCTTGCTTGTCCAGTGAGTAAAAAGTACCATTTAGGAGTATTTTAAAAATGAACTATATTATAATACTGGATGTTATATAACTTTATATATTATATAAAATATACAGTAAACTATAATATAATACAGTTATGCTACATTTTAAAATTTAAATTCATCAAGAGAAAGCAGACTTGTCTTTTTTGTCAGTTAACTTTTCAGTGGTAACTAAGTTAATTTGGATTATAAATTGTGACAGTTATTATTGTGTTTCATTTGCATACAAATTTGATTTTCACTTTTGCAAATACTTTATATATCCACCTTTAATTTTAGAAGTCTGGGCCAACAGTCACCAAAGTTGTCACTGTCGTGACAACCAAAAAAGCAGTGGTAGATTCTGATAAGAAGAAAGGTGAGCTGATGGAGAATGACCAGGATGCCATGGAGGTAATATTTCCTTAATTTTGACTATGTTCATGATACTATTCTAGAAGGATTTATTAGAAAGCATTGGTGGAGTTGTGTTTTTCAGTTATAGAAACTAATGTTAGGAGGTATTCTTGTTATTCTCAGCAGTACTGTTGCTGCATATCCAGTGGCTAGCACATTCTGCTATCTTTGACCTTTTTCTGTATGCCCATGTTTTGCTTCCCCTCTGCCCCTCATGAACTTACCTCAGACATACCAGGTGGGAGAAGACATAAAGTGACAGAATTAATTGAATTTCTTCCTACTAACGTGCCTTGTAAAGATTTGTGTGGAGGGAATTATATCCAAACTTCCTTAAAGCTATATTAGAATTGGGTGCCTGGGCGGCTCAATGGGTTTAGCCTCTGCCTTCAGCTCAGTCATGATCCCAGGGTCCTGGGATGGAGCCCCACATTGGGCTGTCTGCTCAGCGGGGAGCCTCCTTCCCCCTCTCTCTGTCTCTGCCTGCCTCTCTGCCTGCTTGTGATCTCTGTCAAATAAATAAAATCTTTTTTTTTAAAAAGCTATATTAGAATTACTTTTGTTATTTTAGCTTTATGTTGTTGCTCTGATATTCTGTGAGGGCCCAGAATAGAGAATGTAAGAAAGTAAAAGCCAAGGAATGTTTTCTAGCAGAGGAAGGATTTATTTATCTATTTATTTATATTTTTAAGAGAAGGATTTTATCTTACTTTAAGTAATTAATTAATTAATTTTAAAGATTTTTTATTCATTTGAAGGAGAGAAAGCACAAGTAGTAGGGAGGGACAGAGGGAGAAGGAGAAACAGACTACCTGCTGTGCGGGAAGCTGGATGTGGGGCTAGATCCTGCAACCCTGGGATCATGACCTGAGCTGAAGGCAGACAGCTTAGCCAACTAAGCCACCCAGGTGCCCCAAGAGAGGAGGATTTTAAAAGCTAGGAATATTGCCTCGCATAAGGAGGAAGTAGTAATGGTTTTAGCTTTTTAATTTTTTTTTTTAATAGTATTCTTCAGAAGAGGAAGAAGTTGATCTTCAGACAGCTCTTACAGGATATCAGACAAAACAGAGAAAGCTTCTAGAACCAGTGGACCATGGAAAAATTGAATATGAACCATTCAGAAAAAACTTTTATGTTGAAGTTCCAGAATTAGCAAAAATGTCTCAAGAGGGTAAAATTCTTTGATTTATTGGTTATTTTGGAAACGGGGATATGCATTGCTTTGCTCGGGAGAAATACTGGATAGGTCTGTGAGTTGATGCATGAGGAGGAGGAATTTGCATGGCTTACTTGAAGAAATGGGAAAGGAAGCTAGACTGCCAGAAGTCAGAGAGTATGAACATTTGCAAAGATTCAGACCAGTGAGGAGTCAGTGTAGTTTTGGAAGTATTTTAAAAAAAATGAGCAAAAATTAGTTTGGCTCTTGCAGTTGAAAGTTTTAGGGTTAAGAGTACTCTTCATGTGAAGTTACCACATTAAGTATTGTTAGCCTTTTCCTTCTGGGGTTTGAGGGTTAGGAACCAACGTGAAACTGTAATTATGGTTGAATAAGGATAATCTGGACAACTCTTGCTTGGAGAAAAACTGTTTGTATTACCTGTTAATCATTGTTTTTTACTGATGTTGTGATATGAGATATGATAAAAGCCAAGTTATAGAAATTGGAGTATTCCTTTTTGTCCCCAGTTAGTTGTGGCACTAATTGTATTAACTGTCTCCATGAGCTGTTCAGTAGTTTGTCCTGTAGCTTTTCTGTGGAATTACTACCTTTAGTAGCACTAAAAAAAAAGATTTAAATATTTTTAAACTTAACTGTGGCTGATTGAAAAGTAGAAGGCATTAATGGAACAATATTTAACAGCTTTTAATCTGGATTTTGTTTCGTAGAGGTCAATGTATTTCGGTTGGAAATGGAGGGCATTACTGTCAAGGGAAAAGGTTGCCCCAAACCAATTAAATCTTGGGTCCAGTGTGGAATTTCCATGAAGATCTTAAATTCTCTCAAAAAGTACGTGGTTAGCAATTATCTACATTTTTCAGTGTCTTACTATTTAGAATGGCTCTTTTATACAATTAACTGTTACATTTTTATTCTAATAGGAAAACTTAACTATTTTTTTCTTGAACAGCTTTATTGAGGTAGCATTTACATGTTGTAAAGTTTGTTCTTTGAGTTTACAATTCAGTGATTTTTTTAGTGTACTTATGGAGTTAACACAGTCATCACCATAATCTAATTTTAGAACATTTCATTATCCCAAAAAGAGGCCTTGTATCCATTCGTAGTCACACTTCTTATTCTCCTCTCCTAAGCAGCCACTAATCTACTCTCTCTAGATTTGTCTATTGTGGACATTTCCTGTAAATGGTATTGTACTAATATAGTCTTCCGTGACCGGCTTTTTTTTTTTTTTTTTTTAATGATTTTATTTATTTGACACACAGAGAGAGAAATCACAAGCAGGCAGAGAGGCAGGCAGAGAGAGAGAGAGAGAGAGAGGAGGAAACAGGCTCCCCGCTCAGCAGAGAGCCCGATGTGGGGCTCAATCCCAGGACCCTGAGATCATGACCTGAGCCGAAGGCAGAGGCTTTAACCCACTGAGCCACCCAGGCGGCCCCGTGACCGGCTTTTTGACTTAGCATAACATTTTCAGTGTTCATCCATGATATAGAATGCCTCAGTACTTCATTTCTTTTTGGCAAATAATATTTCATTGTACAGACATACCACATTTTGGAGAACCTTATTATGGAACTTGGAGAGACCCAGAGATCTCACTTCTTACCTTGTCTTACTTTGGTTTCCTTTTTAAGGCATGGCTATGAAAAGCCCACACCAATCCAAACTCAGGCGATTCCTGCTATAATGTCTGGACGAGATTTGATTGGTATTGCCAAGACAGGAAGTGGAAAGACCATTGCTTTTCTCTTACCCATGTTTAGACACATCATGGATCAAAGGTCATTAGAAGAAGGAGAGGGGCCAATAGGTACAATTCCTTTCATTAAACTGTTTTTTCAGGTAACAACTTTGTTGTCAGTTAATCAGAAAGACCTGATACTTTATAATGTTATATGTAACAATAAAGATGTCTTTATGTACATTTCCTTTATAAATTTGGCACTTTGGGGCTGATTTCCCCTTACCAGCAGGTGGAGTGAGAATCTTCAGAGCTCTGGAGTGACATCTCAGAAGTACAAAAACAGCCTCTCCTGGCACAGCTCAATTTTTAAACTCAGACTCGGCAGGTAGACTCCTCGTGCATCTATCTGTTTATTTATATTGAGGTTTGTGCTTAGCGAGTATCATGGATCAGTGAACTCAACATGGAAGATTGTAGGGAAATATATTTCCTTTTTTTATTTTTGGCCTTAAAAGGCTGTATAGTGCCAGAATTTCATTCAGGATTAGGTCTACAGATTCATGCCTTGATTCATTTGGCAGAGATCTGTTTTGCAAATTTGAGTAGGGTTTTGGAAATTTGTTCAGCTCCTCTCTTGGAAAAAGGGGGCACAATGTATTCCTACTCTGTCTGCCCCTCAGACCATGGTTGTTTCCGGAAACAGAGGTATGGCTCTGCAGCACAGTGAGTCACTTGATTATCTTTGCTCTGTGATTTGCGGTTGAGAATGATTTGCATTCTTTTCAACCAGGTATTTTCCTGATGGTTGAGTGAGGCATTTAACTCTCATTTATCTTTCTATAGCATGTTTTTAAAATCTACTTAAAATTATCATACACCACAATGTCTGCTGTTTTAAAGCTTTTGAAATAGGATTTTCCAAGGTCCGTAAAACAAATAAAAACAAATAAATTAGGCTGAGAAATTTGAATGTTATTGCAGAGGTTAAATTTAACACTTTAAAGCATAGCCTCCAGAATTTCGGTGGATAGTCTTTTGATATATTTATCTTTTCAGCTGTCATCATGACTCCAACTCGAGAACTGGCTTTACAAATTACTAAAGAATGTAAGAAGTTTTCGAAGACCCTGGGACTTAGAGTGGTGTGTGTTTATGGAGGAACAGGAATCAGTGAGCAGGTAGTTATAAAAGAAACATTCAGTTTTTCCATTCTTTTCTTAAATTAAATCATTTAATAATGTGAAAGTGATTTGTTTTAGTCTTTTGTATAGCCATTGCTTTTATACATTTATTTTTTTAGTATTTTCTTGTCAGGGAGTCAGGGAAGGGCAGAGGGAAAGGGGAGAGAGAATGTTCAGCAGGTTCCATGCCCAGCATGCAGCCCAGTGCAGTGCTTGATCTCACAACCCTGAGATCATGACCTGAGCCGAAATCAAGAGTCAGCTGCTTGTACAACTAAGCCACGATAACATCCCTCTGTGTACAGTGATTGCTTTCAAAATCTTAAAAAAAAATGAGGTGTAACAATAAAGTGAGGATGAATTATGCTAATATTTTATTTTAGGATCTTGAGTCTTTTTAAAAATATTTATTTATTTTAGAGAGAGCATGGGTGGGGAGGAACAGAAAGAGAGAGGAAGTCTTAAGCAAACTCTCTGCTTAGCATGGGGCTCACCGTGGGGCTCCCATCTCATCACCCTGAGATCATGACCTGAGCTGAAACCAAGTGTTGGACACTTAACTGACTGTGCCACCCAGGTGCCCAGGATTTTGAGTCATTTTTGTATGTTTGCTTTCCTGTTCCTCTTCATCTTCCTCTGCTCAAGGAAGGCAGATATTTTTTTCCATTCTACTGATAAAGAAATGGCAAGAAAGGTTAGGTATGTTGATTAAAGTATTTAGGTTAATAAGACTTGGTTTGTTCTAGACTTCTGATTCCAGACCAGCACTTATTTTCTCTAATTCCTATGACATCTTTACAAGGTGTTGATGAGTGTTTTGTGCTGTATCAGTTTTATCTGTATCCTTAAATAATTTCAGCAAAAATTATTTAATCATACCTTTGTTTTGATTTATATTTTATTTATTTATTTGACAGAGATCACAAGTAGGCAGAGGGGCAAGCAGAGACAGAGAGGAAAGCAGGCTCCCTGCTGAGCAGAGAGCCCGATGCGGGGCTCTCCCAGGACCCTGGGATCATGACCTGAGTGGAAGGCAGAGGCTTTAACCCACTGAGCCACTCAGGCGCCCCTAATCATACCTTTGTTCACTCTCTTTACTTTGGCATTTCTCCAAGTGTCTTTTTTTTTTTTTTAAATTTATTTTTTATTTTTTATTTATTCATTTCAAAGAGAATATGAGCAGGGGGAGGTGGGTGGAGAGGGCCAGAGAGAGAGGGAGAAGCAGATTCCCCACTCAGTAGGGATCCAGATGCAAGACTTGATCCCAGGACCCTGAGTCTTAACCCTAGTCAAAGGCAGACGCTTAATCAACTGAGCCACCCAGGTGCCCCTCTCCAAGTGTCTTCAGAAGAGCGACAGTCATTAGATATTTTGCTTTAACCAGAAAGAGGGAAAAAAAAAAAGGGTTCTGTGATCAAATAAATTTTGGAAATGTCACATTTTATAGGGTTAATGTAGGGTTTTTTCCAGTAGGGCTTCTTAGTCTTTAATAAGAAATATGTCTTGTGATACTAGAAAAATGGGATAAATTAAGTGACATTTTCTGAACTTATTTCACCACAAAACCTTTTCTAAGGAATAGTTGCTGTTGTTAAACAGTTTATGTTTTCTGAATTTATCTTCCTCAGTTGTTTTGATGACAGTTTATTGTAAGAAATGGTATTTAAAAACTAACTTGATACATGTATGAATATTATATAGAAGTCAAACAAAAGTTTTTATGATATCTAACATTCTGGTTTTTCCATTCTATTTCAATTTTAAAACACTGGTTGTGACTTTTATAATGATTCACAAATGGAAACAACTCTTAACTTGAAATAATTGGTCTATATACTTGCTTTAATTACTGCTCTCTCATGTTCCTTTCTTAGTTTTGAGGGATTGGGTCAAATTAAAATTGGTAAATGCTCTGGTTCTCATTGAGTTCAAAGTTACAGTACCATGTGGTCGTGTTACTGTTTCCTCTTCCTTTAGGAGTGCTCTAGCATTCCAAAGAATTAAGCAGGAATCTTTGGAGGCTTCTAATCAGACCTCACTGTCTTTACCTTATGGAGCTGTGCAAAGACCCTGGGCAGTATTTTCAGATCTGTTCAAATAAATAATAGTGATAAATAGACTGTAAAATTTCATCTTTTTCATTAGATTGCTGAGCTGAAAAGAGGTGCTGAAATTATTGTTTGCACACCTGGTCGAATGATTGACATGTTAGCAGCTAACAGTGGTAAGTCAGGGGTATTCTTTTTGGTTCTCATTTCTCTTTTTTGAATTCTGTACATTTTTGTTAAAGCAGATACAAGAAATCACCAAAGTGTTTTTATATTTCTTCTTAAAGCTGTACTATCTTAAAATTTGTATTGCAACAAGCTTATTGTTGCAAGTGTTCATAAGATTATTGCAGTTTAATTTACAACTTCTTTTCAGAACTAACTCCATTTCATCTTTTTAGCCTTTAACATGGATTCTTAATCAAATTTTGGCCTAGCCTTGCTTTTAGCAGCGGTGCAGGGGTGGATTTTTTATTATTATTCTAAACTTTAGACTTTTTCCTCTACAGGAGCTAGTATTTTCTTACAATACTGGATAAATTAAGGTATTGCAGCTTCAAGAAATGTTTTCTTTTGTAAATATTGCATGTTTTTTAGCTCATATGTTGTGCTTTGTTAAATTATTCCCTATCAAAACTATTACTAAACTGTTGACATTATTTAACTTCTGTGGAGAAAGGCCCTTCAAGATTTATAGAACTGGGCTTCCGAGACGTAAGCCATCCAAGGTAGGTCATTTAATGCTGTTCCCAACTTTGCAGAACTAATGGGGGCTGCAGATGTTAGTATGGAATACTTAATATTAGAAAGCATTTATTTTGGCTTCATTTCTTATTTTTTTTGAAGAAAATGCTTTCAAAGGTTTCCATTGCAGTATTCAGTATATACATAATAGAGTATTAAAAACTGTAAGTAATGCATGTTTTTCATAGCATTCTGCTTGAATTTCTGTATACATTTACTTCTAATTCTCCATGATGTTGGTGAAGTGACGTTGAAGTTGTTCGATAAATCTCTGTGCCTGTACAGCATACAAAAAGTTTTGGGTTGAATACTGATAAAATAATCCCTTGTTTTTTCTCAATGCTGCATTGATTAAGTCTCCTGACATTCATCTTGATTAATTTTACCTTTTTCCTTTATCTGTCCTTTTGATTTATATTGAATAACTTTTATACATGTTTTTGCCAGGTGATTGATTCTTCAGTTGATAGAAATGCTTGTGTTAATCCTTTAGGAAGGCTTTCCTGTGTATGTATTTAGTTTTCTCTGGCTAAGAAGTGCTTTGCAACTATTTAAACCAGTGAGAGTGTTTAATAAAATTGAACTTATATCTTTGTATAGGAAAAAGTTTATATGCAATACATTTGGTATTATAGTTTTTGTGTAGTACTGTAGTTACCTGATGATGTTGAATAGCTTCTCATTAATATCTTGACGTGCCCATTAGAAGCATCTAACTATATGGAAGTCATTTATAAATTAATATAAAAAGGAGGTTTTCTGCATCTAAAATAGTTAGCACTGGAACTTGCTTTCCACACATACGCTGTAATCTCTAATATGTTTTTTCCTAGGTGATGCTGTCAGATAATGGCTGATGTGGCTCGATGCTTCATCTCAGTCTTAGTTTTATGATGTGTTTTGGAGAGGGCTGTTTTCTGAATTTTACAGGTCCTTCAGGCCCTATGATGGTATGCAAGAGACGAGTTTGACAAAATAAAGGGCCTCATATACCCATTGTCAGAAAGTACTTGCCATTAGATTAAGATCTTGTAGACCAAAATTTTGTTTCACTGTTTAAACATACCTAACTTACCCCTCTGGTTAAGTCAGGCATTTTAGTTCCCTTTACAGTTTTTTAAGTTCTTGGTAGTCATAAAATGAATTATGACTGATTTTTTAGTTTTCGTTTCGTCTTTATTTTTTTTCCTCATCTTAGGTCGGGTCACAAATCTTCGAAGAGTGACATACGTGGTTTTAGATGAAGCAGACAGAATGTTTGACATGGGTTTTGAACCACAGGTAATCACTAAATGTCTTAGTGTTTTGAACTGTAAAATAAACCTTGTAACTACCATGAAAATGAATTGTTCGTATGGTGTCTGAAATTTTCACACACATTTTGTTGTGCTGTAATATAGTAAGTTGAGGACACATGGAATTGAAATCGATATTTATGTTTCGAATTCCTCATAATAGGTTCAGAAGGTATTTATGCAGGCTTTCTGTGTTAGTCTTTTAAAACCATCATTGGTAAAATTAGAATTGAAGTGCTGGTAATAGAAGCTTAAGCTTTCATATTTTATAGTTTTCATTGTCCCTTTTCTTACATGTTTTTAAATATGTATTTATTTTTAAGATTTTATTTATTTGAGAGAGAGAGAGAGAGCACAAGTGGGGGGAGGGATACAGGGAGAGGAAGAAGTAGGCTCCCCACTGAGCAAGGCGCCAAATGTGGGACTCAATCCCAGGACTCTGGGATCATGACCTGAGCTGAAGGCAGAAGCTTAATCGACTGAGCCACCCAGGCACCCTCGTTGTCCTTTCAAATAAATTCCTTTACTTCATGCTTTCAGTTACCTCATGATCAATATAGAACATGCTGTTTACATTCTCCAAATGTAAAAATGAAGGCCCAGAGCATTTGTTTACTTTAGATTTTCATATTCCTCATATACACTCTTTGTCAGATATAAAATTTCGGTGATAAAAACTTAGAGGGACACATGTTAAGAGGTAGTATTTTTATTTTTTTAATTAATTAGTTAATTTTTTTTTAAATTTTACTTATTTATTGGAAAGAGATCACAAGTAGGCAGAGAGGCCGGCTGGGGGTGGGGCGGGGGCGCAGAAGCAGGCTCCCTACTGAGCAGAGAGCCCGATGCGGGGCTCGATCCCAGGGCCCTGAGGTCATGACCTAAGCTGAAAGCAGAGGCTTTAACCCACTGAGCCACCCAGGTGCCCCGGTAGTATTTTTATTAATGAGATAAGGAATGTGAGTTATCAGTGTGCTATGGATGCAAAAAAAAACAAAACAAAACTGCGTTAATTGAAATGGAGTATGAGAAAGGGACACGGGGCGCCTGGGTGGCTCAGTTGGTTAAGCAACTGCCTTCAGTTTAGGTCATGATCCCGGGATAGAGTCCCGCATCGGGCTTCCAGCTCCACCAGGAGTTTACTTCTCCCTCTGACCTTTTCCCCTCTGTGCTCTCTCTCATTCTCTCTCTCTCTCAAATAAAGAAATTAAGGAAAAAAAAAAAAGGGGCACAGTTAAAGTGGTCTTTAATCTTTTCAGTTTATTCATGTAAGTCTCCAGAAATGTATTGCCTGTCATAGTGTGTGTGTTTAGATTTAGGGAACACAATCTAAATGAGGTACAGAAGAGCGCATAAGAGTAAACAGGACCATGTGAGAAAGAGTTAAAGAAAACAGGAATATTTAGGTTGGAGTAGAGGACTTGATAGCATCCTTTAACCCTTTGAAAAATGTCTGTCACTTGAAAGAATCATTGAGGAGTAGACCTGGGACCCACTTGGGAAGTTAAATGAAGCGGTATCTCAGCATAATGTGAGAAAAGGTCTGGATAAACATTACTTGGAGATGAAACAGGTGATGTTGGGAAGAGGGCACTTACTGAATATGCTTTTCATCCACGTCTTTTGGTAGAGGCAGGGTGGTCCATGTGTGGAAAGAGAGCAGGGGGAATTGATGAATCAGTTGGAGGATGGAATTAGATCCATTTAATGTTTTTCCAACTCCCAGGAAATCTTAGACTTTATGGTAGTGCTTAAGGTAGGTGTGGTGATGGGGCCTTTCTGGTCGATCAATTAAGCTTTGCCAGAAAGAGGTCAAACATTTCCCGTTGGTACGCAGAGTGTGAATCATCTCTTGCCTTCAGTGCTTACGTCTCCCTAAGTACCTGAGGGAGAAATGCTGAGTGATGGTTTGTTGCTCACTAAAACCTGTTGAAGAGAAGAAATTTTAAGCGTAAGTTAATGATTATTTTGTGAGCTGTAGTGTAGATTAAAAAGTGCTGGGTTGGGGTCAGTGCCACAGAGCACTGTTGGGGTGTAAAGCAAGTAAAGACACTCACGTGTGAATCAAAGCTGGTACTGGTGAATGCACATCTGCACAGTGTCTTCTGTCTAGAGAGGAGTGGGCAGGCGGTATACCTCCAGACATGATTCCGTACTGAAGAAAATAATGAACATGGGGAAATAAATCATGGCCGCTGAGTATATATCTTTCTGAGTATAAATATGCAATAAATGTACAAGTTGTTTAATGACATGGGCAGAAGGTACAGGACTCTACTTTCCCTCATTGAAGTGTGAACAGGCTGGCAGGCCGAAAGGTGTTCGGCCGAATCTTTGTGTATTGTTTTAAACTTAACTCTTTTAGTGCCAAAAGAAGAGTTTTTAGTATGACAGATAACAGGATTTCTTTTCTTTCCTTTTTTTTTTTTTTTTTTTTTTTTTTAAGATTTTATTTATTGGGGCACCTGGGTGACTAAGTTGTTAAGCATCTGCCTTTGGCTCAGGTCATGAACGCAGGGTCCTGGGATCGAGCCTTGCATTGGGCTCCTAGCTCAGCAGGAAGCTCTTTCCCACTCCCCGGCTTGTGTTCTCTCTCGCTGTCTTTGTCTTTCTGTCAGATAAATACATAAAATCTTTTAAAAAGGAAGAAAAAGATTTTATTTATCTGAGAGAGAGCTGAAGGCAGATGCTTAGCCAACTGAGCCACTCAGGGACCCTGGATAATTGGATTTTTTTTTTTTTTTTTTGGATAATAGGATTTCTTAAGAAGACCACAAGCAGTAGAAGAGTTTCCCTCTTTTTTAAACCTTACTGGTTTTTTTTTAACTTACTGAAGAAAAACTTGTACTTATTAGTGGACATCTTCCTAAGGGCTACAACACAATGTGAAGAACTCCTTTTGGAACCAAAGACAATGGAAAAGTAGATTAGGAATCCATTTGTTCCTGATCTGAAATTAGAGTCTATTAAAAGTAACATTTGACAGGATATTAAAAAGCAGTTTTCCATGAGAAATTGCTCCATAGTTTCTGGGTTTGTTCTTTTTTAATTTAGTAAAAATAAAGAGTAAGAGAAGAAATTGATTAGATAAAGAAATTAATCTTTAGCTTAAGTTAGCCACTATGGAGGATATATACTTTGGTGAAAGTATGTAAAAAATAATACTCGTCTCTGTAAAAAAATCATTACTTATGTGTTCTGTTTTTATTAACAAAGATAAGAATGTTTTAATTGGCCTAAATTTATTCACACCTGTGTCTAATACAAAATGAAGGTCCTCAGGATTCTGAAGAGATGTACTCCAGGTTTTCACTTTCTTTCATTTTTTTTTTTCCTTTTTTCTCTCTCTCTTTTTTAGGATTTATTTATTTGAGAGAGCAGGGGGAAGGGCAGAGGGAAATAATCCCAAGCAGACACCCCTCTGAGCACAGAGCCCAACTCAGGTCTCTATCCCACGACCCTAAGATCATGACCTGAGCTGAAGCCAAGAGTTAGACGCCCAACCAACCAAGCCACCAAGGTGTCCCACCGAGCTTTCCACTTTTTTAAAAATACCAATCACATAGTAAAATGAGAGAGTAAATGTGCTTGTCAGTTGTACACTATAAAGTACCATGCTTGCATCAGTCATCTTAAGGAGCTCACTATCTCATAGGAGATTACTTTAACTTTGAAGGCTGTCTTCAAATTGGCATCAAAATTAGATAGATGTTTAGACACCTTAGCATCTCTGAGCCTCTCTCTCTTGAGGGCACCTATGAAGTATTGGTGGATAAGCAGTTACTGAAGAATAAAATGACTGCTACCTAAGGAAATTGAGGTACTGATAAAAGACAGATTTTTGAAAACTTATTTTTAAGTCTAATGTAATACTTTATATTAGAAGAAACAGATTAAGGGATGTAATTACACTTGACTAGCCCTCCCGCGCCCCCCTCCATGCTCCAAGTTTTTATGATCTAGTCCAGAAAAAAAAAATTTTCTTTTTAAGATTTTATTTATTTGACAGACAGAGATCACAAGTAGGCAGAGAGGCAGGCAGAGAGTTGGTGGGGGGGAAGCAGCTCCTTGCTGAGCAGAGAGCCTGATGCGGGGCTCGATCCCAGGACCCTGGGATCATAACCTGAGCTGAAGGTAGAGGCTTTAACCCACTGAGCCACTCAGGTGTCCCTAGTCCAGGGTAGTTTTTACCAACATAGATATCAACATCTCAAGGACCCTGTTTGTGATTTAAAAATTGGGATTGGGTTGTTTACATTGGTGAGCAAATAAATTATTTTCTTGAGGATAAAGAGAAGCATTGCTATCATCAAGAGAAGTACAAGACAGAATGTGTCAGTCTTTTAGAATGTCTCTAAAAGGAGCATATGCCAATGATCAGGAGTTGAATCAACAAAAAGTGGAAAAACTGCTACTTTTGTAAATGTTAGTGACTGAACTGATGACCTTAGTTTTAGCGTATGAGTGTGAAAGGAGAAGTTTATAGATTTACGTGGCAGACCACCGCTGACTTGAAGTATCTGTGTAGTGTGAGAGAGGAAACTGAAAATTTCAGGAACAGCTTTTATAACAGCTTTTAATCAGTAGCCCCCAGTCTGATAGCTCCCAATCTGATAGCTCCCAATCTGATAGTCAAGCCAGTGGAAACACAGACCAGTCATCATTGAAAAGGTGTGTGAACATTAGGATCATTCTCTAGCCATCTTCATGACTCTAAGCAGTAATAGATAGTCATAAGGTAAATCTAAGCTCTCATGTGCAGTACACTGTTCTAGGAAGCACAGGGTTTGTATCTTATTCAGGAAGCTTTCTCTGTACTATGAGGAGAAAAGGAGTTAGGTTTGATTCTCCAGAAAACTTTTACCCTTTGATACTGTCTTTTCTGAAAATGCTGAGAATGAAAGGTTACTTGTGAATAGTCTAGGAAGGCAGGATGTGTATTATTCTTTGAAGAGATTTTCAAGGCCTCAGTGGGGCTTTAATGTG